GGGGGGGGGGGGAGGGAGGCATCGATGCTTCTACTAACAGTGCGGGTAGGTATTGATGCGGCTGTCAAGGTAAGTTGCGAGGTTGGCACGAGTGTCGGAACAGACAGCTGAATAAGTTACCGGAAGGGGTTATTTCGGCCCGATCAGAGACATCCCTGATAAACGGAAATACTCGTACAGTCACTATTAGTTATTACCTCATATAGAGAACAACAACCCTAACAGCAACGGTGACAGCAATAATAATAAACATCATCAGGAAGGCAGAAAAACAGCCGTATTTTCAGGCTTCTCTCCATCACATCAGTGAATAGGTATCCGGATAGATCTCTCTCCGATTCCGACCCTAAGACGAGCCTTCTACCGACATTATTCCGCTGCTACGTCTGGCAATGAGTACAGACTACATATACGGCAATACTCCCGGGACCCCCTACATAAAAATAGCTGTAGGTCCAGGATCCTGTAAGTACTTACTTTGCATACGGGTATTGTAGATATGTCCTTATGGAGGACACTGTGGATATACAAACGACTCAGATAGATAGACACACGCCGTCACATCGGAAATGTCAGGCCATTGGGCCTTGAATCGGACTGAAGGTGACAAGTAAAAAAAAAAAAAAAAAAAAAAAGAGGAGGCAGGTGCGCTCCACTCTGACAGCCGGCCCCGCCTTCGTAATACCTTCCCACTTCAGGGCCGTTGCCATACGAATGACGCAGGGTGGAAGGAGCTGCCCACGGCCACCAACCCGAGGCGAGATAAGGGCACCTCCGAAACTCTCTCCTCAATTGCCGCACCATCACTGCTTCTCCATCTTCCGAATGGCCTGTGTCTCGAAAGCCTCTGGTAGGCAGCAGACACGTTAGCATCTGATAAGGCCGGACTCGTGAAGTCTCGTACATGATCACCACCGTCGCCTCGAAAGCTTGGCTGATATTACCTGGTTTATTTCGTCACCTCCTCCTCGGGTGGCGACATCGATCCTGAGCGATCCTCTTCATCAATCATCATCACCCCGATTGAACCACATTTTGGCTCTCACATACACACCCCTTCACCTCTGCGAGACGTGGTAGAGAAGATGAAGATGGCGAACGAGTCGACGCCTCTGATCCAGACGGTCCGCGTCGGGCCTCGCACTCGGAAGTACCCCCACAGCACCTGGCACCGCTTCTTCATCATTGCTAGCGCTTCCATCCTCATCACTGGCTTCACCTCATTCATGATCCATGCCACTTTCATCTGGCCATACGAATATCGCCACGGACACCGCAGCCGATACGCTGGCTCAATTGCCAACGGCTTACCCCACGATGAGCTGGAGTCCATCATCCTGGACACCCCGTCTAGTGACAAGGCCGCCGAGTGGCTCGAGTACTACACCTCGGGACCCCATCTCGCCGGGAAGAATCTGTCGCAGGTAGCGTAACCACAGCAAGACACACGATGCGTCGCACAGACACTGACGTACCGAACCACGATAGGCCGAATGGACGCGGGATCGCTGGCAGGAGTGGGGTATCGCATCTGATATTGTGGCGTACGACAGCTACCTCAACTACCCCCTGGACCACAGTCTCACCCTTCTGAGTAAGAACAAGAGGAAGTCGTCCAACGCCGGCGACTGGGACGTCGTGTTTGAAGCCTCGCTGGAGGAGGATATCATTGAGGAGGACCCTACCTCCGGTCTCGTGGACCGTATCCCCACATTCCACGGCTACTCAGCCACCGGCAACGCTACGGCATCCTTTGTCTATGTCAACTACGGCACCTTCCAGGACTTCCAGGATCTCATCGATGCCGGTATCGATCTTCGGGGGAAGATTGCCATCGCCAAGTATGGCGGCATCTTCCGCGGACTCAAGGTCAAGCGCGCCGAGGATCTCGGAATGGTCGGTGCTCTGATCTACAGCGACCCAGGCGATGACGGCGACATTACTGTCGAGAACGGATACGACTACTACCCCAACGGACCAGCTCGTCGCCCCAACAGCGTCCAGCGTGGAAGTGTACAGTATCTCAGCATCCACCCCGGCGACCCGTGAGTCACCCCACTGATATGCTGAGGAAGGAAGAAGGAAAGATGAGGAGGGGGGGAGGAAAAGACGTTGAGGAGAAAGACTGACGTTACCTGCAGCACAACTCCCGGATACCCATCTAAGCCAGGAGTCCCCCGCGCCCCAGTTGATGGCGCAATCCCCAGGATTCCTTCCATCCCCATCTCCTACACTGATGCACTCCCCATCCTGAAGGCTCTCAACGGCCACGGTCCCAAGGCGACCGACTTCAACAAGTACTGGAACCGAAACAACGGCCTCGGCTATCTGGGCGTTGAATACCACGTCGGTCCCTCTCCAGATGACGTTGTCCTGAACCTGAACAGCCAGCAAGACTACACCATCACTCCCATGTGGGACGTCATTGGCATTGTCAACGGAACCATCCCTGATGAGGTGGTGGTCGTGGGCAACCACCGCGATGCCTGGATTGCAGGCGGAGCTGCCGACCCCAACAGCGGTTCAGCCGCCCTCAACGAGGTCATTCGCAGCGTGGGCACCGCCATAGATGCCGGATGGAAGCCTCTACGGACCATCGTCTTTGCCAGCTGGGATGGCGAGGAGTACGGACTGGTGGGCAGCACCGAGTGGGTCGAGGAATACCTGCCGTGGATCAAGAACGCCAATGTAGCCTACGTCAACCTCGACGTCGCCGTCTCAGGCCCCAACTTCGCGGCGGGTGCCACGCCGACGCTCCACCAAGTCTTCCGCGACGTTCTGTTCAAGGTCCCGTCGCCGAACCAGACGGTCGAGGGCCAGACTGTCGGAGACCTGTGGGACGGCACCATCTCCCCACTGGGAAGCGGCAGCGACTTCACCGCATTCCAGGATTACGCCGGCGTTCCCTGCATGAACCTGGGGTTCAATGGCGGAGGCAAGGACGCCGTGTACCACTACCACAGCAACTACGACAGCTTCACCTGGATGAGCAAGTACGGCGATCCTGGGTTCAAGTACCATAAGGCCATGGCTCAGGCGATGGGCCTCGTCATCACCACTCTCGTGGACAGCATAGTCATTCCGTTCCAGGCCGCCGACTACGCCGAGGCCCTGGATACCTACCTGGACAAGATTGAGACCAAGCTGGATGCGGCTACCAGAGAGCACGACGATGACGGCGAGTCCGAATCCGAACAAGACGTCTTTCTCGTGCGAGGGCAGGTTACGCCCGGTGCGGTGACGGGAAGCCCCGACGCCCTGAGGGAGAGCCTGTCGGCCATCCGCAGGGCCATTGCGGCCTTCCGCATCAAGGCGCTCGAGACGGACGAGCTGGCTGCGTGGGTGAACGAAGAGCTCGAAAATGGCATTCCCTGGTGGAACTTGGTCAAGAAGTACCAGCTCGCCAAGGCTGTTCTGAGCCTGAACAACAAGTACAAGTATCTGGAGAGGGGGTTCCTCTTCGAGGGCGGACTCGACAGTCGCAGCTGGTTCAAGCACGTTGTCTATGCGCCGGGGCTGTGGACTGGGTACAGCGGTGGTGAGTCTCTCTTCTCCCCTTCTTTGCCTCTTCCTCTGCCGTTCTGCCTTTGGACCTGATGTACTGACAGAGATGCTGCAGCCGTCTACCCCGGACTCACCGAGAGCATCGATTCCAATGATTACAGGAGGGGTCTGAAGTGGGCTGGGATTATCGAGGTGGCCATCAACAAGGTTGCAGCTAGCCTAGGTTGAGCATTTGGTATCTTGGGATATCTATGAGATGTCTGCGAACTATACGGAGACATGCACCCGTACGTCTTGTGGATGTAGAGTGCGAATATGTTGTCGAATCTAGATTGGAGACGAAATACGACGAGCAAGAATTACAGGTACATTTTAGTTACGAATCCAGAAAATGCACTAGTAGTACTTGTGCAGTGCACTCGATCTGGTTGGTGCACTAGAAGCATGAGAAGTGAGATGATGAAAACAACTAACTAGCTAATACGATGTGAAGATGTGGAGATGTGAAGATGTGTGTGTGTGTGTGTGTGTGTGTGTGTGTTGTATAGGAACGTGCCGAATGGCCTGAGGCCGCCTGAGGCCGCCAACAACTTATATCTGTGTGTAGTCTAACAACGTATATTTTATCTCTAGAGGTGGGACTAATCGAACATGTTACACGGCAAGAGTTGTATGACGCAACCAAAAAAAAAAAAAAAAAAAAAAAAAAGAGAAAGGGAAAAGGCGTCTGGTAGGTATATGTGAATTACAGGTGCGGTTATCATTCTCCTCTAGAACTTGTAGACCTGGTCAGGGCTGTAGCCGAGCTCCTTGAGCTGGCCGGTGAGCTCACCCTGGTCCTTGGGGCTGACCTTGTTACCGGAGATGGTGTTCATGAGGCCCGGGGGACCGCAGACGAAGACCTTGATGTTGGACTCCTTGGGCTCGGGGAGGACGGTCTTGAGGAGATCCTTGTTGATGAAGCCAGAGTGGCCGGACCAGCCGGAGGGGGGTTTGTCGAGGACGTAAAAGGCCCTGAAGCGCTGGGGGTAACGGTTCTCGAGCTCACGGAGCTCCTTCTTGAGAAGGATGTCCTCCTCGGTGACGTTGCCGAAGACGAGGGTGACCTTCGTCTTGTCGGCCGGGTTGTTGAAGATGGCGCGGATGAGCTGGTACATGGGGGTGATGCCCGTGCCGCCGGCCACGAGGGCGATGTGGTCGTGCTTGTTCTCGGTCCAGGCGTACTTGGGGAGGGGACCCTTGATGTCGAGGGTCTGACCGGGCTGGAGGTTGTGGATGTGGTTGCTCATCGGACCGTTGGGGTAGGCCTTGACCAGGAGGTCGAGGTGGCCGCGGGAGTCTGTAATAACTTTGTCTCAGTATGACCGAGCGAAGAGAGCATGAAAGAGGGGTTGTCGATGTTGCGGAGGGAGGGGGTTCCTTTTTCTTTTCTTCCTTCTCTTCTTCTCTTCCTTCATCATAAAGGGAGGGAGAAGCGAGCGAAGCGAGGACCATCATAAGAAGGGGGGGAAAAAGGTGAGCGAAGCGAGGACCAAAAAAAAAAAAACCTACCTTCGTCGTTGATGGGAGTATAAGGACGGATGGTAGGCTTGGCATCATCAGGACCCTTGTACTTTGCCAGGACGGCACTGGCAACGGTCAAGCCAGACACCATGTCAGGCTCCGGAAGCTCGAAGCGGAACTTCTTGGTGTTGTGGTTGACATCCTCGACCTCGGCCAGCTTGAGGGAGACAAAGTCTCCGGTCAAGGCAGGCTTGGGCGGAGCTTTGGAAGAAGCATCTCCTCCAGCAGCCTTGTTGGCGGTGGCGGCAGCGGCGACGCCAGCACCGGCAAAATACCAGTATCCCGCACCGGCGAGACCAGCAGCTCCGGCGGCGTACAGGAGGGTGTTTGACGAACCTCCCTTTGGTACCTCGGTAGCGTAGCTACGGGCCTTTTTTTTCTCGGAGAGGGAGAGAGGGAGAAGATGAAAGTTAGAAAGACTGTCACCATTTTTTTTTTTTTTGAACCAAGTCGATCTTTTTGGCGCAAGTCAAGTGAAAGCAAGCGCAGAAGCAGAAGCAGAGAAAGAGCAGATCGAGAGAGAAGAAAGGAGGAGAAAGTATAATTTACCTTGGTCAGAGGCTGAACCGTACGGAAAGCAGCGCGGGAAAACATGTTGAGGAAAATGAAATGGGTCTTGAGAGTTATATGAAGATGTCCAGTTCAATCAGTCTTGGGATTATAGAGACGTTGTTTTTTTCTTCCTCTCCTCTTCTTTCCTTCTTTCCGTATGTTTCGAGCAGGTACAGGAGAAATTGGCAGAATTTTTGAAACTTTGATAAGGGAAAGGGGAGGGAGGGAGAGAAGGTTCTCGAGATTCTGGGAGAGCTCGGCTATAGCTCTTGTCCTGTTTTGCGATGATGCAACGGTATCACGTGAGAGATGCATTGATTACGTGACTTTGTTCGCAGCGTGCGACAGAGTAAAGATGATATAGAGAATTAAATATATAAATATGTATATATATACATACATATATATATATATAAAGAAGCAAGGTGTACCCCCACAGTCTCTTTTTTCTTCTTCAATTTATTTCATTTAATAATTACTTTCTCCTCTTTTTTTTTTTTTTTTTTTAAAAAAAAAAAACAGAATGGTAGCCTATGGGTCGTACTCATAAAATCCGTACGGACTTGACCAACTGCGTCTTGGCTATTCGCCAGTATTACTCCGTACTCGTACACGGGGTAATACATGATATCATGTCCCACTCGGAAGTACGGGACGGATTCGGAGTAATGATGACTACGGAGTACATGTACTCGATCTGTAGAGTACTCCGTACCTCTGTAAAGATACCTGTTGGTTTACGTTTCGATAGCGCGCGTAGATAGTTGGCCATCGCACAGGTGCATCAGCCCCCTCAAGTGAAGGACCCGCAGCGGTCGTGATGATCTTACCTGCTGTTCTGTCTATCTGTCCCATGAGGCCGTATAGAAGGTGAGATCGTGATGTTTGCTGCTGGCCTGGGGCGACGGCCTCGGCGCCAGAACAACCATCCTCCATACGGCATTTGGTGTTTGCGCAGACAGTACCCAGCAGTTGAGAAATCAGCAATCCTCGTAACCAACATCGTGATCGAAATGGGGTTTTTTTTTTTGGGTATGGTGAAATAGAAATGGTTATAGGGAAATAAGAAAAATCGCTAAATCTCCCACCAACCAGACCCCAGCGCTAAATTGAGTACCATACAAGAGAATCGTTTCGTCCACCCCTCCCACACCACTAGCAGTATGGACCATCCCTCTTGGTCCGAAATTTCATTCATCCCTTTACATCGTGACCGGGTAAATCAAGAGATGATGACCCTATAGAATAAGAAAAAAAGAACCAACTCCCTGCTCCCTTCATCTAAAAAAAAAAGACTGATTCCTTGTGATGCTGGAGATGAATATAAGAAAAAGATGTTTTATGCCTTCGTCCTTGTGATGCCTTCTTGCTTTTTTTGGTAGTCCTCTTCGCATTCTTTTTTGTTTTGCTTCTTCCATTACAGCCCCTTGCCTGCTCACTCCTCGCTAGCCGCAGCGGCTGCCTTCTTCTCCGGTGCAGGATCTCTGTCGCCCGCATCTTGGCTCTCCCTCCGGCCCAGGCTGTTGGCCGGCTGGCTCTGGGTCGGCGTGTTGGCCTGGCTCCCGCCCCTCTGGCCGTGGTAGTGTACCACCTGGGGGGGCACCTGGCCTCCCGGGAGCCCCAGCTGGCCCTTGGGGTACGGGTCCAGGTCCTTGCTCGACGTCGAGAACATGGACACGACAGGCTGGTGGTAGCCGTTGGCCCCGTTGGCTGCCGCCGCGCCCGGTCCGTACGTCGCGCCGCTCTCCGGCACCGTCGGCGTGTCCACGTCGTTGGGCGACCCGGATTCCTCTGCCGCGAGTTGACCCGCCAAGCTGTTCATGCCTCCTTCGATATCCCGCAGGAGTCGGACGTATTCCTCCGGCACCAGGCCGTTCTCCTGCGTCTTGGGGTCCTCGGCCACGAGCCATCCCTGTCCGTGCCGGTACGAGACCCATATGATCTGGCCCTCAACCAGCGGCAACTCATTCTCGTTCTCCCGTGCAAAGTCGAAGAGGGCGACCGCCTTTCCGTGAAACTCCTCGTCGGGTGAAGTGATGGTGAACTGGTAGTCTCGCGAGTACCTCGACTCATCGTCTCCGCCGTCCGGCGATGACGGTTGGCTCATCCTGTCCGACGGGACGTATACCTCGCGTCCAAGCTCGGGAGGGTGCCCGCAGTAGTACGCTTGACTGTGTCCGGCATCTCCTCGGTGGTACGTCACCACCTCACCACCCGGACCGTTAGCCTCTCCTCCGTGGCCGACATAGTAGCGCTCGCTACCGTTGCCGCCGGATCCGACGTAATAGCCTCGCTCACCCTCATAGTGGGGGCCCTTCGTGCCCGAGCCGTCGCGGGCAGGCCCACCCATGGCGGCCGACGTCGACTTGTGCTTGCGGTGCCGGGTGGCGACGACTGGGCTCTGAAGGTCCTCATCCTCGCTGTACGGCGGCCCGTCCCCAAACGAGATGGGAGGCACGTCCTGACCTCGACCGAATCCATCTGCCGTCCACGAGTCCCAGGGCATTCTCTGATCCCACGACCCGGGCGGGTCGGACAGCCTCCTGTGTTCGCTCATGGGCGTCGTCCAGCCAGAGGGAGGGGCCGACGGCTCGGGGGGGGGACCGTAGTGCAAGGGGTGAGCGGCAGGATAGGCGAAGTCGCGCACGAGCGCATAGGAGAGGCTCGAAGGGAACATGGGGAAGGCGTGTGAGGGTGGTCGCGATCGGGACGGCGCCGAGGCGGTTGAGTACTGCGACAGTCGACTTTTAGAGGCAAAGGACATGGGCCGAGACAGGGTGTTTGGTCGCGATGGTGGAGAGGTCGCATGCGAAGAGATCGCGGGCGTATTGTTGTTGTTGCTGCTGCTGCTGCTGCTGCTGTTGGCTCCGGGAGCAGCAGATGGTGCTGTGCTCTCCTCAGCGGATGTGACGGGGGGCGTATCAGTCGCCATTGTCTTCAGATCGTTCGCGCACCACTACCCTGAAAGATTGTTTCGTCGGAGTTGTGCGCATATACCGAGGCGCCCGTACGAGTCGTCTAGGCTGGAGTGCTGGATGCGGATAGCTGCAGTTGTCGAGACGGCGCCGGAGAGAGACAGGCGTCTTGTAATATAGCCGTCTCGGAGTACAAGCCTAAACGGCGCTATGAGACAACGGAAAAGCGGGAGGGGAAGGTGAGAAGAGAGGAAAATGGCTGGCGAGGTCTCGTGGGGCCAGCGGGTGGATGGGTGGCTGTTCACGTCAGAGCCAGGTGAGAAGTAAGCGAGGATAGGCGCCAGGCAGGGCAGAATTGCTCAGCAGCCCAGGGTTCTGGGTGCGCAAAGGCCAGGGCGGCGTCGCAGTGAGGGGACACGAGACTGGGGGGGGTTGGGCGACTTGACCTGGGGCGACCAGGTTGACCAGGTTGTCAAGGCTCCGTCGTCGAGAAAGATGGTGGCGGTGCCAGCCGGTGGAAAAGGAGGGAGATGGGATTCCCGGAGAGGCGACGACAATATTGCAGGCAGTTGTCATGCAGCACGGCAGGGCGCGAGAATGGTAAGAGAGGTTGAGAAAGGTGGTAGTAGTAGCCTGACGTCGCGGGTGGCAGACAGCGGGGGGGAGGGGAGGGGAGGGGAGGTGCTACCACTGCGGCTGCTGTGCGGAGAGACCAAAATAGACGGCTAGGAAAAGGGAGACGTCGGTTGAGAGGGAGACGTCGCGACAGCCGGAGGGTTTGTCGCGGGGCAAAGTATATCGGGCCAAGGGCGTGTGTTGCGAGCTGTTTTGTGGTGTGTTCTGAAGAGAGATGGTCGGGGAGGAAGTGGGCGGGTTCCAAATGGGAGGGGAGGTGGAGGCGAGGAGGACAAGACAGGACAAGACAGGACAAGACAGGTGGTGAGGGTACCTCTCTGGTAGTGTGCAGCCCGGGCGTCTGGTGTGCAGCGTCAGGTCTTGCGTAGCAGGCATGGAGGGCCGTTGGGAGGAGGATTTTACTGAATGCAGCAACCGCTACGAGCAACGGCGACTGGTACTAGCAACCACTACGAGGAGGACACTACGAGGGACTTGACACTCTCACACATGTACGAGGCACGAGCACATGTATCGACCAGCAACATGGACAGCAAAGCAACATGGACAGCAGCATGGACGATCAGCATGGACGAAGACACGTGATCGATGCAGCGCCGCTGTCAATACTGCAAATAATGGTGCGCCTCGTCCGTCTGCCTCTCCAGCTGTCTCTGCGGCGCTACGGACGAGCACGGATACAGCACCCACACGACTGGTCGCGCCTGCCAATTCGTGTGGGAAATGGATCTACAAGTAAGTAATAAGGCAAGATGGCCAAGGCAGGAGCGCCCCCAGCACCTTCCCCGGCGCCTCCTGGAACTCGGACAAATGTATCGCACCATTCCATCGGTTCTCTTCTGTTCTACGCTTAGTTCTACGAGGAGTGGGCACCTAATATTACTTCTGTCTGCACGTACATACATGCCTTTCCTCTCCCCCTCCTCTCCCCTCTCTGTTGTCTCCTTCGGCGGATACGTGTGCATGTATGTAATCTGTACGGAGTAATGATGCTACTACCACCGAGAGTATGAGTTATCGCAGAAATCATTCTCTGTGTTACTGCGTGCATGCACCTTGTATGTGCTCAAACCCTGGCTCACCATCTCTTCTCCCTCGAGTCTTTGGCGCACTGAGAGGTAGAGTTTGTTAGAGTTTGTTAGTACATGCTCGTACATGAGTACAGGTCAGCAGCACCGAGGAACTCGTACGTATGGCATAACCCGCCATCTGTCCCCAGCATGTCAACTCAGAGCCTCCTCTCCATCTGGTGCGCGACGCCGTCGGAAAGCCCTCTGGTGTACGCGTTCCACATGCTGGGCTGCGATGCTACATATTGACGTGGTTTATAGTCTGCATCGCCATCTCCAACCATCACACATGATACAGCAGAGCACGGGACATGGGCGGCTCTCCCTCAATGGGCCTTGGCCCGTCGTGCTCTTCGAGAACCCGTACGCGTGAGGACAGGAACGGGTGTCACAGAAGAAACACGGACATGCGTCCCCAACCTTTCTACAAAGTCGAGCGGATCACTGGCACCGGGATAGAGCTTGGCCGAGACAGGCCAGTGGACCGTGGTAAATGAGATGTCCTGGGCTTCCGGGGCATCGTGACAGAAAAAAGGGTCGGAGGCTCGGAGCATGCCTCTAGTCGATGGCTCCCACATACCGGAGGCATGCGCGTACGGAATGACGAGACTGTTACAAGCAATACGTAATATGACTGACTACCTGTACGTACGAGTGTCTACTGTATTTTACTCGCCTACAGAGCACTGCAACTATACATGCATGTAATATTACTCCGTACGCTGCATTGAGACCATGGTCCATCAGGCTCCGGGACGCTGCTAGCATGTGCCAGAGTGTTTTCCGTCGAGTATTGCGAGTATCTTCATCGAATACGACGTATTACGCGTTCCGCATCAGCATCGGGGTCCCGCATCACCATTACGACGATGCATTGCCATGTGCGTCTCTCTACACGGACTCGTGGAAGGACTCATGTGGAGAGACTCATGGGAGAGAGAGGGAGAAGAGAGGGAGAGAGAGAGGGAATAGAAGAGAGAGGTCCCCGCCGTCTATTTTTGGACAACCCACCACCTGGCAGCCCTGGCACCCACACACTGTAATAAGCTGTAATGGGGGGCTGGATCTGACTGGATAGATTGATGGCCTTGTATGTTTCAGGTCATGCAACGGCCGCGATCCTGCGACGCCTCATCCAATCAAGAATCGTGCTGCGCACGGACGCAAGAGAGGCGCGCAGAAGCCGGTCTTTCTCTCGTCATAACTAATCTGCACAGCGTCTGGGTGACCATGCGTTAACATCGTGGCTGTTGAGGGCTTGGAGCCAAGGTGAGGCGAGATGAAGATGGAAGACCATCTGATGCTGTCAAACTCCAGCCAAAAAGCCCATCGACTCGCGTGATAGAGTGCGCCACTACAGATTACATCCTGCTACTACTCGGAAGGCGTTCGGCACGACGTATCCACATGGCTAGGCTCAACCTCGACCCTGGCCGGTTTTTGTAATCTGTACAGGTTACATGTATTGCTATCATACCCTTGGGGACTTGGATGGCTTTGCTGGGCTGGATGTCAGTCACGTGACCATCCACAAGCTCTCGCAGCTCTACGCCCAGTTGGCCGCCTCGATGACGCACTTGCAACTGCAGCAGCTCGCAGGAGAGACAACCCAGGCTTAGCCCGGATCGATGGCTGGATGATTTTCTTCCTCTCTTCTTTCCATTGGTGTCTCGACACTCTTCGTCACAGGTTGGTACAGTGTTATCCTGACGGCTGACGCGCATCCAGCCACGTTACCGACGATATCACATACCATACAGATTACCGTACAGTGTAGTTACATGCGCAAGTGTGCAGGTGGGTGGGTGGGTGGGCACACCCGACTTTTAGCCGCCCAAGGGCACACACGCAGTCGCGCTCAGCTCACCGCAAACCTTTTTCTCTCCTCCGCACACTCTGGACCAAGCTATCTAACCCTGCTCTCTTCTTTGTTTTTTTGGGGGTTTTTTTTATGAAAAAAAAAAAAAAGAAATCATCAAAGAGCTTCGTCGTCAATGGCGTAGAGTGGCACCTCGTGTCAAGAATAGAGCGCTTAGAATATTGACACAGAAGAGATCGACTGGACAAGACCGCTGGCCTCTATCTCTCATCCAGGTAAGCTTTTCCCTCTTACGTGCTGCCTGGACCCCTCCCCACCACACCAGATGAACGCAGCCTCTCTCTCTCTCCCTCTCTCCTGCTCTTTGCCCTTTACATGATGAGTTTTTATTATTGGAGCTGTCAGAACAACAATGTTGAGACATTCTTTTTATACGCTTTTTACCTGATGAAGATCTTTCCCTTTTACTCCCCTCTATCTTGCAAGACGTCCACTGCGCGATCATTATGCTGACTTCCTCTGTCTTGCTGGGGAAAAAGTGCGTTGTGTGGTGGTTAGCTCTTTGCTTGCCCCTCCTCGAGGATTCAGAGTGCTTCTGCCGCGTGATAGTAAAGATAGCGACTCGCCGGAATAAAGAGAAGACGGCCGGGATATAAGAAAAAGAAGGAGAGGAAAAAAAGAACCATAATAGAAAACAAACACACACAAAAGATGGACGTGACAAACGGAACTTCGGCCAGCGCTGCGGCAACGGTCAACGGCAACTCGACGGAATCGGAGCCGTTCAAGCTCAAATTCTGCACCGTCTGCGCCAGCAATAACAATCGGTATGCCCGAAAGAGAACAGGAAGAAGACAGAAAACAGAAACAAACACATACCCACACACACACACACACTCTCTCTCTCTCTCTCTCTCTCTCTCTTCTCTCTCTCTTCTCTCTCTCTTCTCTCTCTCTTCTCTCTCTCTTCTCTCTCTCTCATATGACGAAACTACCTGCGGAAGGTGTGCAAATGCGCCAGCGTAACAATCGCTGACCGAGATGGTACGTGGTGGCGAGTCTAGGTCTATGGAAGCGCACCTCCGCCTATCGCAGGCTGGCTATCCGGTCATATCGTTCGGGACGGGGTCCCTGGTCCGACTGCCAGGGCCGACCATCACGCAGCCCAACGTGTATCACTTCAACAGCACGTCGTACGACAGCATGTACCGGGAGCTCGAGGCCAAGGACGGGCGTCTGTACCGCAACAACGGCATACTCAACATGCTGGGGCGCAACCGCGACATCAAGTGGGGGCCCGAGCGCTGGCAGGACTGGCAGGTGGGCGCGCCGCGGCTCAAGCACGCCAAGGACCGCGGCAGCGAGGGCACCGAGGGCGGGCTCGTCGACGTCGTCATCACCTGCGAGGAGCGCTGCTGGGACGCCGTCGTCGACGACCTGCTCTCCCGCGGCTCCCCGCTCAACAGGCCGGTCCACGTCATCAACGTCGACATCAAGGACAACCACGAGGAGGCCCACGTCGGCGGCAAGGGCATCCTCGACCTGGCCAACTCGCTCAACGACGCCGCCCGCGAGGAGAGGGAGGCCGTCGGCGCGGCGGCCTTTGACGCACCCACCTCCCCCGCCAGGGCTACCTTTGACGAGAGGGTACCCGAGATCCTGGGTGCCTGGCAGGAGAGGTGGCCAAACCTTCCTGCCATATGGACTCTGTCGTGGTTCTGACGGACTCTGCCCTCTCCCAGGGTCTCTGCTCTATCTCCCCTTGTATTCGGTAGCATGGCGTTTCTGTTTCCAGAGTTATTTTCATTTTCATCGTCAAATTTTTTCTCTTTTTCTTTGCCCTTGCTCTTCGCGTTCATACATTGTTTCCATCGTCCTGGGCTAAGGGACGGACGCAAAGCCCATGAGTACACAACATGCTGTATCGAGGAACCAACACGAGTTACAACCCGCCGATCCGTGATGGCTCCCAATACAGCACCCGACTATGGAGTGCTATAAAGCCACCTTTACCCGAGCCAAGACTTCAGAGCCGCCGCCGTCGAAGGCACCTGCAGGCTACACATAACCCGTAACAAGCCACAGCCGATGCAGCCATGGCCGATCAATCTACACCCGTTACGAGTATAAGCCCACCCTGACCCTGCCAAGAAGCCAGATCGGCAAAGGCAAAGAAATCTCCTACGGCGAGGCGAGCTCGGAGCTGTAGCCGACGGACCTGTAGGCCAACCGCGCGCGCGCGTGGAGACTCGTGAGGAGGGGAAGGTAAGAAGAGCTCCGTGTGGACCATGTCAAGATGCGAGAGGCTATGCCCTTGTCCACGCAAAAAGTTGGCGGACACCAGCCCTCGTACTAGCAAAGATGATGATGTGACCTTTATCGAACTGTACCATGAATGGGCGCGTTACAAGACATCGAAGCCTTGCAAGATACTCGGCTCTGAATCCTGACTGCCAGCTGAAATTGGGACTTGGTAGCGATGGAGGGGGGGAGTTTGTCTAGTCGGTCCCGTGGAGCCCTCTATTTGGTTGGAGAGAGGGTAGCTAAATAAAGGACGGCTCTTCTCTCTCTCTCTCTCTGTCTGTCTGTCTGTCTCTCCCTGTCTCTCCCTCTCTCTTACGCGGTGTATTCAGGGTTCTGCGGTCGGAAAATCAAGTGTCAATCGCATGGATATGGATATGAGCGGATGGAGAGTACGGGTACGGTGTGGTCGGAGGCATACCCCGCTGGACGGTTGTTGCAGTGGTCTATTTCAGGGACATCTCAGCTGTACGTATGGAGGGGGAGCCGTCTAAGAAGTCACGTCGAGGGGAGTGGAGGAATACGAGCTGGACACGATAGCGTGCACGATATGGTTGCTGCAGATGCACGAGTATGGTCTGATCGTTACAACGGGGACAGCAAGATCTATCATCATTGGTGGCATGGAGTTGGTCGACAACCCCTGAGATTTAGTGTGTCCGGCAATATGGCTCTGGCTGAAGAAGGTCGCGATGCCACAGGTAGGTAGGTGGGTGGGGGGGTTCGAGTATGAGGATGGAATACAGATTAGATGGATCAGAAACGTAATCTTGCTTCTCAAAAGTGAGTGTACATTGCAGCCTTGAGACGCGCACCGAGCCGGAGATTTTCTGAGGCTGAGAGGAGGAGGAGGAGGAGGAGGAGGAGGAGGAGGAAGAGGAGCAGGGCCAGTAAATTGGGTGAGACGGGAAGAGAAAGAGGGAAATTTGTATATCGAGATAGGCTGGCCGGTGAGTTGTTAGTACTATTTATCGATCGTATCGGCAAAAGGAACAGGTCCGTAAAGTGAGGAACTAGGCATGTACATACTCGTATATATATATCATATGTACTCGTATATATATGGTGGCAGTACAGACTAGACTGCAATACATGGCCGTTGCAATCGTCATCCGACGGTCATTGCGGTCAGGTACGAGGCGGGCGTGGGCATGGCAATGAGTGAGGCATTGATGATTCGGTAATTGCCATATTGTGGCGGTGTCTTATAACACATATATGCGTAACCGGCATGTACTTTGTTGTAACATCATCCAGACTCCAGACTGTTGCTGTACATCCATCGTGCGCATATCGTGTACGACGCGCGATCCGTACATCGGTCCGTCGAAGCAGCATCGAGACTACGAGCGATGGATGGTGGTGCTGCTATAGACGTGTGCACGATGATGGAGGTATCGACGTATCAGTGACGGTGACTGGCGGCTCGTAGTACTCGTAACGGAGTCGCGATGAGCATCATCCGGGCGTCCAGGGCTGGCCAACAATGGTAGAGGGAAGCAGCCAGCGTCACGGATACTCGCCAGCTACATGTACGAGTACAGTCCTCCACCCCTCCCCTCTCTTCCTCTTCTCCTTCACTCCGCGCGCGCACTCCGGGCATTGCTGCATCGGTATCACTACCTAATACCACATCTCCCCCCCCCCCCCCCCTTTCCCCTGCCACTCACGACCGTATGGGTCCCGGGAGCAAGCAATTCCCCGGCAGGATAGAGGTCATGGGCAGGACGAGTGGTTCACCAGAGGTTCAAGTCTATATAATATTCGTGTGCGGGTACTACGGGTACTCGTAGCGTACGTACATTAACCGTACACACATATACACATATATACGTATGTATATATATATATGTATGTATATATACGCATGACAGGCACAGCATAGCAGCAGCAGCAGCAGCAGCAGCAGTTTCGTTCTGTAAGAGGTTGCTAGCCGGGGTTGAGAACGGAAGATGGTTCTGGACCGCCAGGGGAAATCAGGTAGGGTACGTGAGAGATACGTGAGGTATATAAGCCGATGCTCCACCGAGGCACGTACTCCGAGGTACCATCCCTGCTATTGGCCGCGTCTTCCCTCCCCTCCCCCCTCCCCCCTTTTTCTCTCTCTCTCTCCAATCCATCCTGCCCCTGGCTACCCATCTTGGGCGCTTACAGGGGGCCCGGGAATGGAGAGAGAGAGAGTACACGGTGGCTGCAGAGGATGTTTACTTGGTGGTGACCCCTGGTCTGCAAGCATCGCATGTAGCAGCATCTGCGATTTATGTTGCATATGTAAGGTCTGTACTGTTGCTGCGAGTAATGATGATGATGATAATAATAGTACTCATAATCTGCCTGTACGCGCACGAGTACCTGGGTCCTGAATATCTATCTGGCTTACTACGAGCGAGCACAGCACATCTCTCTGCTTCTTTCTTCCTTCCTCCCCTTTACCATCAGATGATGGTTGATCCGGTAAGATAGGATGCGATCAGGTTCCGATAACACTCTACTCCCTCGGGTTCTCCAGCCAGGAAATTCTCTCTCGTCTCTGCTACGTCCCACAGCCTACATGCAGATCAGATCACTCGGGCAATATGAAGAAGATGAGAATCCGGGCTGCTGCTCTGCCTACCATTCTTACGCGCAGTGTGTTGTACATGTGTGTATGCTGTGTGCGCTTGTGTGTGTGCGGGGAGTGGATACGCTGTAGAGGAGGGAGGACGATGCTGATGCAGCGAATAGGGGACAAGGAGAGGAGGCAACCAAGGACCGGGTGGGGGGGGGGGGGGGGGGGGACCGGGCATCCCCACACGGGGCGATGCCTACCAATATCCCATGAGCAGGTACATGCAGTACAGATGCATTCACTGATTCCTGTTTTTTTTTTTTTTTTTTTTTTTTTCATTTTTTTTTCTAACCTGCTCTTAGTTAGAGCGAGCATATGAGCAGGAGAGGTTGAAGGCCGAGCCGGGATAGGTATCTTGATGCGGATCATACTGATACTAATACGTGGGACGTTCAATCGGTGGTGGTAGTGATAGCGGCATCGCCGACGCAGAGAGCATCACAGGCGTGAATGTTCAGAGTGAGGAGACATGTGGACTGGAGAAAGGAAGAGAAGAATAAGAAAAGAAAGAAAGAAAAAAAAGTAACAGATCCGAGAATCTACAGCGTCAGATGAGCATGCACGAGTTTAGTCTTGATCCTCTCTCCCTGCAAGCACCACCTACAGGCCACAGGTACGGATATCATATTACTGGGTGGGCGCATCGCTACCTGCGGAGTAGACGGTACCCAGATGGGATTAGCTCCGTGGCATTCGCAGCGGATCAGTCGCACCCCCCTTCCACGGCTCAGAGGCGGTACCGAGTCCCTGCCGTGGTCCTATGGAGCTCATGGACGGCCAGCTAGCGCCCTGCCATGCCCGCTACGTCTGCTGCGCTGGGGCTACGCTGGGCTACGCTGGGCTACGCTGAGCCTACGAGGAGAGCAGGCATCGCTCGGGACGACTCCAGTGCACACTGTACGCTCCAGTAGCTCCTGCCCTCTCTCAACGCTGTAATTTCCACGGCACCTGCCCGCTGAAATTAGACCTGCCTCTTCATTACCATTCTCCAAGTATTATTTATTTTATTACTGGTATATGCAATGTACAGATTGCAGATTGCAGATGTACAGATCATGGTTCATACCTCTCTGCATCCGTATTACAGGAGTATTCAGAGATACCTTGCGCCGCGTATACACACACACACACACGCACACGCACACATACATTACATACACCTACACACCCACCCACCCACCCACACACCCACACACACCCACCAAAGAAGGATCCTCGTCTATCCATATCCCGTACCTGTACCTGTGTACCTGCACTCCTTACCTATGCACTCCTTACCTATACGCTCCTGCACAGATTACCGTGGTACTGCTATCCTCGTCTGCATCCTTGGACCTGGGTAATGTGATACTCCTTGGTACTCCGAATGTAACTTGTATACCGGTACCTCGCACCATCTGCTACGAGGGATCCCCTCCACCACCACCACCACCACCACCACCGCCGCCGCTCTCCTACCCTCACTCGCACTCGCTCGCTCGCTGCATGTGGTATTGCTCCCTACAGCCTTTGCCGCCTCGTCGAAGCCCCTTCAAACACCATCTTCCTCCTCTTTCCCCATCTCTCCCTTCCTCTCCCCTCCCTCGATCAGACGCCCCCTAAGACCGAGACGGATGGACGAAATCGACCGGAATCACCGACAGACCTCTCCCTGATTCTCCTCTCTCCTCTCCTCTCCTCGTCGGCCGCAGCCGTCCATCGATCGCGGCTAGACCATGAGCGCCAGCGTCCGCAATGCGCCCCTATCACCAATCTCTCTAGGTGGAAACGAGTGGCTCCCGAAGACCGACGACGGCTCTGGTCCTGGCCCAGCCTCGGGCTCCCTGCCCAGCGGCCGCGGCAACCTCGCGTCCCCCCCCCTCTCCAGCAGTTCCAACACGAACGCCATCATGAGCATGAACGGCTTCGCCACCGGGCCCCGGAGTCCCGGCGGCGCACCGTCGCCGCCCGCCTCGGTAGGCCGCTCCAGCATGGGCGGCTCCGGCCCCGGATACGCACGCAGCGACAGCGCTCGCAACAGCACCCGCACCGAGGCCCCCCTCGACGAGACCGTCCTCCAGGATCACTACTACGCCCTCAAGCTCTTCCTCCAGGGCCGCGATCCCAACGCCGGCAACCCCCCCAACAAGGCGCGCGACAAGCTCCTCCGCCTCTCGTCCGTCCAGTTCTACGAGCTGAGCACGGACGTCTACGACGAGCTGCGCCGACGCCAGGCCGCCGCCCGCGCGCCGCCCAACGCCCCCCAGGGCCCTCCCCCTTTCCTGCTGCCGGAGAAGACCTTCCACCCGAAGAGGAATCAGGCCCGCCAGCGCCTGTCCTCCCTCGGCCCCCCTCGCTTCCGCGACCTCGCCACCGACGTCTACCACGAGCTGGAGCGCCGCTTCCCCGGGTTCGTCGGCACCGAGATCCCCCGCGGCGTCAGCTCCATGTCCATGCGCGGCCCTGGCCGTACGGGGACGCCCTCCAACGGCTACGGCCGTCCGCCCCGGATGCGCCAGCCCTCGGATGCGGGCTCCATGCGCGGCCCTCCGCCCCTGGACGCCTACGGCGTACCCCCCTCGCCCAGCCTGCCTCCGGGCGAGTTCGGCCGCCCCATGCAGAAGCAGCCGAACCAGAACAACACCATCGTGCCCAACAAGAGCACCATGGTCGAGGAGGACGACGACACCGATCCTTACGGCCTGGCCAGCAACCGGGAGAGCAAGCGAAGTGCCGGAAGCTCAGACGTCCGTCTCGCCCCATCTGCCCCCCCCCGCCCCCCCCCCCCTCAGCTAGCGCGTAGAGACTGGTGGACAGCTGGCTGACCTCTCTCCAGACCGACAAGAAACTCATCGAAGACTACCAATCACAGGTGCAGGAGCTGCGCGAGAAGATCGACAGCATGGAAGACGCCATGAAGAAGAAGGAGGATGAGCTGACGAGCGCGCTCTCATCCTCCAGCGACAAGGAAGAGTGGGATCAGGTGCGCCGGCTGCTGGAGAGCAGGCTGGCCGAGGCGCAGGACCTCAACGACTCGATGAAGCAAGAGCTGGACAGGATGCGCGACGACCACGGCAACGAGACGCGAGAGCTGCAGAGCCAGATGTCCGAGCTGCAGCAGCAGCAGCAGCAGACCGGCGGCTTCGGCAACGCCGAATCCGACCTGCAGGAGGAGAACAGGAACCTGCGCGAGTCGCTGATGGAGCAGCGGCAGGTGACGGACGAGGTGCGCCACCAGGCAGAGCAGTTCATGTCGGAGATGCGGGTGCTGTCGCAGCAGAGCACGACGACGCACGAGAAGCAGATCGAGCTGGAGCAGACGGTCGAGAGACTCGAGGGCGAGGTGCAGCATTGGAAGGCCATGTACGCGCGCGCCAGGACGCAGCTGCGCAGCATGAAGGCGTCGTCGGCGGGGCTCGCCATCGGGCAGGGCGCCGGGGGCCTGGTGCGCGACGGCGGCTTCACCTCGGAGGCGGGCCTGATCCGCGACGTACACGTCACGCGCTTCCAGATCGCCGTCGACGACCTCGTGCAGAAGGCCCACGGCGACCGTGCCGACGAGGTGGTCGAGACCATGAAGTCCGTCATTGCCAGCGTCCGCCGCATCACGCGCGACGTCGACACGACGACCGACGTCGGCAACCCGGCCGACGAGACCTTCCTCCGTCAGAAGTCCAAGCTCAAGGGCAAGGTGTCGATGACGGCCAACAACCTGATCACGGCGTCCAAGAACTACGCGGCCGGCGGCGGCCTCTCGCCCGTATCCCTCGTCGACGCCGCAGCCGACAACCTGACGGGGGCCGTCGTCGAGCTCGCGCGCGTGGCCAGGATCCGCCCGACGCCGGCCGATCAGCTGGAGCGGGAAGATGCGGGAGAATCGGGGAGCGTCACGCCCGTCGAGTCGGCCGCCTTCTTCTCGCCACCTTCCAGCGCCGGCCTCCCCCGATCGGCAACGACGGGACGCGGGGTCATGAGCACGAACCGCCACAACGACGACGACGACGAGTTAGACGGCCTGCACATGGGTACGAACCGCCACAACAACAACGACGACGACGACGACGGCCTGCACATGGGTATGAATCGCAACAACAACAACAATTACAGCAACTACGGCAGAAACAACGACGACGACGACGGCCTGCACATGGGTATGAACCGCAACAACAACAACAACAACAATGACGATGACGGCCTGCACATGGGCATCAATGGCGGCGGCGGCGGCAGCAGGATGCACTCGCCCAACCTGCCACCCCCGCCACCCTTCAACGGCCTGGCAGGCATGCGTGCCAGCGCTGACTCGTCGGCCTACAGCCCCGTGAGCTCGCCCAGGCAGTCCAACGACCCGTACAAGAGCGCAGACGGGTACGCTCAGGGTGATGACGTCAAGGTGAATGACTATTATAACTATTAGATTCTTGTCATGGTATTGGGATATCTTTGATCATGTCAGCTTTTTTTATTTATTCATGATGTCGAACAAAAACCTTTTTTTTTTTTTCATTCTTTGAAATATACTCTTCTGTTTCGATTTTTTTTGGGGGGATGGCCTGGTAATTTAGGACCTCTTTTTTTTTTCTCTTCTTTTTTTCCCTTCTCTTCATCATCATCATTATCGTCATCATCTTCTTCTTCTATATCTTCTTCTATATTTCTCTCTTGCTCTTTTTTTTTCTCCGCCCCCTTTCTATTCTTTTACTTGGAAAGTATGTCAGTTCGGGCAAGTATCTCATAAAAAAAACTCGGAAGACATCTTGAATAGGAAGGTATCTCAAACTCGGAAGGTTTCTTAACTCGGAAGATGTTTTTTTTCTCTGCTTTCTCTTTCTTCTTTTAACTCGGAAAAATGCTCTTTTGGGTCTCAAAGCAATTCTTGTATACTCGCGGCTTTTCTTTCTTTTTCTCCTCTAGGTGAAAATGGGAAGAAACGAGATGGGGGGCGTTGTTAAAGGGGGGGGGGGGGGGGTGTTTGTCTTATTTCTTGTTCTCCTTTCTTATATGGAGATAGAAAACCACTTTTGCTCTTTTTTCTTCTTGTTTCTTGTTCTCCTTTCTTATATGGAGATAGAAAACTACTTTTGCTCTTCTTCTTCTTCTCTCCCCTCCCCCCCCTTTATATATGGACACCAATGTTTTCATGTTTTCATCTTTTTTTTTTTCAATTTTTTATACATCATCACTTCTTCATATTCCAGGAGTCTCGGCTTGTTGAATAGCCATGTATGTGGATTTGGAAATATATATATCAACTATAGACGTTTACATGTCTAGTGAGAGATGTCAATCGTAATCGTCCATACATGACTGACATTTTTACCAGAACGTCAACTAGTCCTCTCATATGCTTGTTCGGGTAAATGTCAAGGATTTGTACCGTTTATATGCCTAGTAAATGAACTATAGGCCTTTATATGCTCGTCTGATCAATGACTTGTCCATGCAGACGGGCGAGTACAGAGGTATCCGTTTTGGGTTAACCCGCAAGTGTCATGGTTACTTACTGCTGACGTGTGGAAGTAAGCATCTTGCTGGTTGACGGTGAAGGTGTCAAGACCACGCTGTGCTGACGTGTGGGTGTATTTGTCAGAGTTCTTGTCAGACACCATGATGGGGAAAAAAAGAAAAGAAAGAAAGAAAAAGAAAGAAAGAAAAGAAGAGAAAAGAAAGAAAAAAAACATCCCCCAACATCCTCAGACAGACGCCATGGACATCAACCTCGGTCTCTTTCTGGAGTCCATCTCGGACTCCGCCTCTCCTCCTTCCCCTTCATCGAGTCCCCTCGGTTTCTTCCGAAAGACTGTATCGAGGTCCCGCTCCCGCTCCCGATCCCGCTCCTCCTCCCCCTGTCCACACCTCGACCTGTCTTGCTGGTCCTGCAAGGCACACAGATCGAGACGGTCGGCCTCCCCTTCCTCCTCGCCGAGCAGGTCCATGAGAGCCGCCGGGATGGCGCTCGGCAGGTCGCACGACGACGGGTCGCACGGCGTGTACGACAGGGCGCCGGGCTCCCAGCCCGGCTCGGCGTAGTTCTTGGCCTCGGCAAGGGTGTACCCGGTGCTGAAGCCCTGGTGGTACGCGTCGGGGAGGACGACGACGGTCTCGCCCGCGCGCTGGTCGACGACGCGGTACGGGATGGCCAGGCGGTCGAGCTTGGTGGGGAAGAGGAAGTGCGCGCGGTGGCGCATGAACTGGGAGCAGCCGGAGCGCCGGCCCAGCCGCTCCTCTGCGTGCTCGACGGCCGACGGCGGCACCACCACCCACACCTTGCGCCCGCGGTACAGGTGGTTGAGGGACGAGAGGCGGAAGTCCTCGGCGTGCAGCTGGAAGGGCGCGCCGAAGGCGGCCCCGGACTCGTACACGTAGGGGGTGTGGATCCCCGGTATCACGGCGCGCGTCCGGTCCAGCCTGTCCCCCCGGAGCGGGTGGATCGGGCTCCGGGCCGGGACGCCCGCCGTCAGCCGCTGCTCGGCGCTCCAGGCCGGCACGTCGACGCGGTACCGCACCTCGCGCACCTGCTTGTTCTTGCTCTTGTTGAAGAGGGTGCGCAGCCTGGCGAAGGCAGAGTCCGTGTCGCCTTCGAACTCGGGATGCGCACCGTCACCTCCCTCCCCCTCTGCCGGACGTGCCGGGAACCGTGCCTGCGTGGGCACGGTGCTGACCTGCCATATGCGCGTGCGCTCCATCAGCCGTGTCCGGAACGCGTTGGCCGCCACCGTCTGCGCAGTCTTCGGCGGGAGAGGGCCCAGGAGGCCCGGCGGGAGGACGACCTTGAAGCACCCGTCCTCTTCGGCGCCCAGGCCTCGCGCCGTCCGCAGCACGGCCGGGAAGTCTTCCCACTGCGACAGCGTCGGCTTGAGCCGCAGGATGCCGCTGCTGCTATCGTCGCGTTCGTATTCTAGGCCGCCCGCGGAGGCGGGGGCCTCGTTGCCGTCTCCGCCCTGAGCCGACGCCGGAGGCTGCGACGGAGTGGCGGACTCCTCGGGACCGGACGGCGACGGCTCTGCCTCGGGTGCGGTGCTGTCGTGCGTCCTGTCCGCGCGGCAAGCCTCCTCCGCAGTCGCGGGCGGCGCGCAGGTCCCTGCCCCGAGAGCGGTCGGCTCGTCGCCTGTGATCCGGCTGTCTAGGGGGCCATCTGAACCCGCTGCGACGACGGGGTTCTGATCGCCGGCCGACGGCTCGGCGGCCGTCTCCGGAGGCGCGGGGTCGGGGCTGCCCAGACCGGCCGTCCCCCCCACCCTCTGCTGCGGATCCTCTTGACGGTGCGCAACGTTGCGAATCGTCCCCGCTTGGCCGATATCTCGCTGGCGAGCCACCTCGCCCGCAAACGCTCCGCCGCTGGCCATGCCGTCGTCGGCCATGGCGTAGTCTGAGCGGGAGGGTCAGTCGATCGATGCACACCGCTCTCTCCCGCATGTGCAGTCGCCAACCACCGCCCAGCCGCACGAGATGCAGATTGTCGGGGGTGGAAGAGGGTGCCCCATATGTTTCAGATCGCGACGAGGTATTATATATGTTGTAGGTAGGGATCGTCGCGCGCAAGGCTGAGGAACAACGAAATAAGGACCGAGGGTCTCGGCTGTTGGAAATGACGGGTTACGTTAACAAGTTTTAAAAAGGTTGGCCTTTTATGTGTGTGTGTGTGTGGGGGGGGGGGGGGGAGAGTGTTAGAGTGTGTAGCGTTGCGTGATAATATTGTAAAGTGAATTGTAGTCCCATACCCACAGAGACAAGGGGAAGACGGGGGGGGGGGGGGGGGGGGGGGGGGGTGAAGAAGAAGCGAGAGAAGAAGAATGAGAAGAAAGATGGAATAGGCAGATTTCAATTGGCGGCAGGAGCCATCTTGACTCGCGCGGTTCTTTCTGTATATAATTCCAATGAAGATTACAGATTACATTGATGGGTATATTGATTGTCTTTGGTGTTATACAACGTTGCTAGTCCAGCCATGTATCGATCGTACTTGTACATTTTTTTTTTCTTTATTTTTTTCTCTTCTCTTTTCTTTCCTTAAACCAAGTCTTCTTTGACGGGATCGATGGGGGAAAATGTGTATCTTACACACATATATATATACCGAGTATTACCTAGCACGGTTGTACCTTTGCAGGCGGCATCAAGTGACTGATCAACGGTTGATACAAAAATGTTGATAGTAAAACGCTATATATATGTATATATATAGATGGATAGATAGGTTTAAAGATTTATAGATATATAGATAGACATGTAGATATATCCTGCGCCAAACATACCCACCCCCTCCTCATCCGCCCCCTTTCCATTTCCATCATATCCTAAAAAACTCATCAAAGCGTTAACTCGAGATCCCCCCCCTCTCCATGACATATTGATGATACAGAATTGCTACTGCCTGCTCCCGTCCCCCTCTCTTCTTTCAAGATCGGGAGGAGAAGAAGAGAGAGAGAGAGAAGGGGGGGGGGGAGGAGGTGAGGATAGAGGGGAAGAGACGCTAGAGTCCCCCCCTCCTCTCCGCCTCCTGCCTCCTGAGCTCGTCACGGAAAGCGTTGCCGGGCTCGTCGACGCGGAAGCCGGGGGTGACCGGGCTGCCGGCCAGGCTGCCGAGGTCGTTGCTGTCCCTCCTCGGGGGGGCGGTCGGATCCGTGTAGTCGGCGTACCCGTAGAGCGGGTCGGTGAAGGCGCGGGACTCCTCGGCGGTGGCGCCCCTATCCTCGAGGCGGATGGATCCGGGGCCGCCGGCCAAGCTGCTGGCGCCGCCGAAACCCTTGTCGCGCCGGCTGAAGAGGCGGCGGGTCTTGCGGCCGGTGTACCCCTTCCGGCTGCGGCCCATGATGTTGCCGAGGTCGATGCGGCGCGTCTTGCGGTTCCAGATGCACACGCCCACCACCATGAAGAAGATGCTGCCGAAGACGACGGGCAGGGCGATGACGAGGTCGCGGTGCTTGATTTCCGTCGGGCCGTCGTCGGGCGGCGAGTGCTTGTCCAGGACCAGCGGGATGGCGCTGCCCGTCTTGTCGAGCACCTCGCTGCCGTTGCTGCCCACCACCAGCTGCACCGTTATGTTGTGCGGCTTCGGGCCCTTGAAGTACTTGCTGCTGATGTACAGAGGGTAGTACCCCCACTCGGCTGGGACGGGTTTGGTCTGGTCCAGCTTGGCCCAGCCTTCCGTCTCCCAGTCGTCCGTGTCGGAGTAGTCGGGTGCTTCCTTCTCGGCCGTGCGGTTCAGGTATTCCAGCCGGAGGGATACCTCGACCGTCGCGTTGGCGGAGACGGTTGTCTCGTTGAAGTAGTCGGGGTCCCAGGTGACTGTGGAAGTTGATCTTGTTATTCTTCTCTTGTTCCTTTCTTCGTCTATTTTTCAAAATAAAAATAATAAAAAATAATAAAAAAAGGAAAGGAGGGGGGGGAGAGACGGAGGAACGCAGAGAGAGGGAGAGAGAGAGGGAGAGAGAGAGGGAGAGGGAGAGGGAGAGGGAGAGAGAAATGTACACACCATAATACGTCGTCCCCTGAAACATTGTACTCGAAGGCTCGGGATCGCAGAGCGGCGCACCGTCGCCGTCGAGGTTGACGCAGCGCGCGAAAGCGCCGTCGCCGTCCTTGCCGGTAGCGGACGGGATGGGAGGCTCGCCCGTCGACGTCGTCACGATGCCGTAGTAGGTGCTGGTGAAGACCGAGGCCGTCAGGTCGTGCGGCGCCGCGTCGACGACCTCGGTGCTGCCGTCCTCCTTGGTCGTGATGGAGGGCGTGTGCGTGGCCACCGGCTGCTTCAGGTCGTCAACCTCTACCCACGGCGCCGTCACGGCCGCCGCCGATGCCCTGGCCTCGAGACGGGCGGCCGCAGCGTCTGCCGAGTCGGGTGGGTCGGTGATCTGTGCTGCCCCTCCTCCACCTCCTCCTCCTGCTGCTGCTGCTGCTGGTATTGTTGCTGTTGTCGTTGTCGTTGCTGCTGCTGCTGCTGCTGCTGTTGTTCCTGCTTCGCTGCTACTGTTGCTGCTGTTGTCGTCGTCGACAATGGCATTGGCAGGCATGGCTGTCGCGATTCCCATCAGGGCGGCTGTCGCCAGAACCAAGAGTGAATTAGGGGCGTGCATCCTCGACGCGTTTCCCCTTTTTTCCTTCTTATTTTTCCTTCTCTACCCCTCTGTTGAACGATCACAATGGCAATTGGGGAGAAGATGTATGAAGAGAGAAGAAGAAAGAAACAAGAAGAGAAGTGGAAAAAAAAAAAAGGGAACTGGACAGATAAAAGTAGCCCCCTTGCGTCCTTCAGTTGCAGAGCTGTCGAAGAAGAGAAGAGGGTTAGACTTGAACAGACGAGTCTTTTTTTTCTTCTTCTTTTCTTTTCTTATTTTATTTCATTTAGATAAATAAGTAAATTATTATTATCTTTTTTTTCTTTTACCCCAGCACTTGCGAACAACCCCCCCCCCCCCCCCCTGTATTAAAGCGAGCACGCATTCCAGACAATGACGGGATAATTATTATTACGACTCTACTCCGTACTGAGTACGGGAGTACATGATACATGTACAGATTACTCCGTGTCACGCAAACCTACGGAGTACATCTAATACAGATTACAGATTACAGGTACGAGCGTCGAGCACAGACAGGCAGCCGGGGTTCGGCTGGACCGGATACCTAGTCAACCGTTGGTACGTGTGGGCATCTGCCGTTGATTATATTGCCGCAATACCCAGTACATGTACGGAGGAGCAATATTGATACCATCATGATACCGCTGTATTCGATTGTATTGTAACCTGTAATCTGTATTCCTCAGTCGTCATTTATATGCTCTGTAAATCTCACATCCATCTTGCAATGCTAATATCACGTCCTATGCCTTTGACATTGGTGTCGCCCAGTGTATCCGACTCTCAACCTTTCCGATCCTCGCCTTCCCAAGCCCTCCCCTCTCCCTCCCCTCTCCCTCCCCTCTCCGAGTCCTCCCTCCCTCCCCTCCATCATGTCAACCCTCGCGGCCGACCGGCACACCAAACTGCCGCAGCACACGTAACGCAACATCAGCCAGCTCTCGTCGGACCAGGCTCCTCCTTCAAAGTCCCGACCAATCACCAACGCCCCCACGGGCCATGTCTGAGAACCTCTTTTGAGAACCACGCCTAGACGGTGGACATGCCCTCGGAACCCCGTCCCGCCAGTTTCATCGAATCGACAGGGTTGAACCTCCTTGATCATGATTCATCCGATAACAGACCACGTCAGCAAGTCCGATGCCCCTCGTGGCCCTGGCAGCCTCTCCCTCCCTGTCCATCTCCATCTTGGGCAGCGTGTAGTTGACCTGCTCGACCTCGCCGCGGGGAAGACACGTCTGGAGACTTGTTTTCTTTCTTTCTTTCTCCCCCCCCCCCCCCCCCCAAGATACTGCCCCGGCTACTACGTAGGCAGCGTCGGAAAGCTCCATCTCTTCGGCCCCGCTCTGGCATCGACGGCTGATATGCTCAGAGGCCGACGGTCGGATCATGTCTCTGCTGTCATCTTCTGGTCTGGGTACCTGGAAATTGTTCTGCAGATGGTGGCTGCGCATGGTCTACAGCTGGTTCCCGGTCATGGCTCGTAGACCGCGACTGGGCACCGTCTGCAGGCGGTGCCTCTGGCAAGCACGTCGGCGTCGGCGCCGTCGTTTCCCACCTCGGGCTGGGTCTCGGCGGGAGGCATGCCGGGGAGGGCGACGGGGCCCGCGGCCACGGCACCGGCCAGGGCTTCCCGCCTCCTCCTCCAGCTCTCGCTTCCCGGCCACATCTCCGTCAGGAAGGCTCTGCCCCTCGCTCTCGCCTCGGCCCGGGGGAGGGGTAGACCGGAGGACCAGAAGAGGCTCAGGTTGGCATCCTCCGGGTTCCCCTCGGCCTTCCAGACCGGCGTGCCTCGGCTCGTGATGTAGGCGTCTATGGCGGCCTTGATATCCCCAGCCTTGCAGATCGGCAGGCCCTTGGGCAGGAAGTACTCGTCCACCTCCCAGCCTGCCCTCTGAGCCTTGCCCGTCCGTAGGCCGGGGAGACGGGAGCGGAGAACCGGGTCGGAGGCAGGGTCGGGGACGAGATAGTGGCCGGAGAGCACATCGCAGGCGAGGCCCGGGGCATTGCCGAGGTCTTCCTCCCCGCCCGTCTCGTCTTCCGGCCCGTCTCCCGGCCCGTCTCCCTGGAGCAGTGAGGCGGGAGGCTCGGGGCCGCCATCAGGGCTTCCTCGGTCTCGCCGTCGCTGGCTGATCACGTGAGCCTCGTGGCTCATCGTGCCCGCAGACAGACGATCTTCTTCGTCATCTTCTCCCTGGTCGTCGCCGTCGCCGCAGGCCGTCTGCTCCGAGAGGGCCCTTGTCAGGAGACTGGTGAGGGGCGACCTGTCCGACGCCACCGCCACCTTGGCACAGTGCTCGTGCACCCATCGGTCGTCCTTTAGCCTCCGGATCCTCTCGCGCTCGGCGAGGTACAGGTCGAGCCGGCCTCGTTCCTCCGCCCTCTTCCGGCGCTCGACGGCGGCGAAGATGCCGGTGAAGCAGACGGGCGACGGGCAGCTCCCCAGGCTCATCCTGACGGCGACGTGTGCGGTGATGAAGGCCCTGCCCATGTCCTGGATCTGCTCGGTGATGTGGCAATTTTCTGGAGTGGGCAGAGGGAAGTCTTGGTCCTTGATGTGCTTGTATTGGAGCTCGTCGAAGACATGGCATCGCTCCTAGCGAACGTGTTTCCGGTACGCACACCAATCGCACTGGGCTACGACGGACACGCACATTCTGCTCGTCGTCGCGGGATCCGCCCGTAGACGTTCTTCTCGGGTGCGATGGCGTCTGTGCGTGTCGGTGCGGTGCGGGGTCCGGTACGGATGCTCCTATGAGCAGGAGCAGAGGTGACTGCGTAGTGGCGGGTCAGTACTGAGCGGAGGAGAAGGGAGGCGATGGAGGGTGAGCGTACCTTGCGGTCGACAAGACCTCGACCGGGACGGCTTGTGCTGTATGTTTCGCCCTCTCTGCCGAGCGACGGTATCGCTCGATGAGCTGGAGTGATTGAAGCAGAGTAGAGATCAAGGTAGGACTAGCTGGCCGAAGCTTTCTGTGCGGGTGGACAGCTCGGTTCGGAAAAAAAAATGATGGATCGAAGATTGACATCTCAAGATGAGCATAGATGGCTAGGGTTTGAGAGGGGATGAAAAAGCGAGGGATGGAAGGTGGGAGAGTATTGGGGCCTAGTCAACCTTCTCTCTTGTGGCGTGCCTCTATAGACGACGGCGTCAAGGAGACGAACAAGGCGTCTATTCACTCGAGCAGGGCGGGGGTGAATAGGCGAGAAGCCAAGGTGCAGACCGTGGTGTGTAGATGACTGCTGCTGCTGCTGCTGCGATGCCTTCTTGGGCAGAGAGGTTGGCAGGAGGGAGAAGGAGGTGGAGAGCTCAATCGAGGTGAAAGGCGAGTGTGTCGGCACAAAGTCTAAGTACCAAGCACTAACATCGTTCGACGGCTCTGTGCTATCGGCCGTGTCCCTCTGCCCTGGCAGACGTAAGCAGATGGCAGCAGTTGTCAGGTAGCTCCTTCCTTTCTCCTCCTCCTCCTCCCCCTCCCCCTCCCTGGAACTAAATCCAGAGCAATAGTATACAGAGCCCGAGGCATCAAGCCAGGTGGTGGTCGTTGGTAATCGTGATAAGCTGTACCTTGGCAGTGCCATCCAGCGAACCGTCCGGATATCCCATGTTCCATCGTCCGTATCTCGTGATATGATCTATCCTTCATAGGCAGTCCGCCCGCCGGAGGGTAATATGTGAGCGTGTCCCTCTGAATGCGGGGAGGGGCCTCGTCGAGGACGATCAGCAGGCTCGTGTCGCCTCGGTCACGGCCTGGATACACGATATCAGCATCTTCCTACCCCCTGGAAGACGACACAGACGGGCAAGATGCATGTCGACAGCATACCTCTCTCTCTCTCTCTCTCTCTCTCTTTACTCTCTCTCTACTCTCTCTCCCCCTCTCCCTCCACTCTCTCTCTACTCTCTCTCTACTCTCTCTCTACTCTCTCTCTACTCTCT